AGAAATGCTATGGGTGTGGAAAAACTGGACATTTTATAAAAGATTGTTATAAAAAGAAAAATGACCAGAAAGGAAAAGGAATTGATGAACGAAATGTAGTTGAACCTAATGATTCTAGTACTATTGATGTCTATATGGTGATTGAACCTTCATATGATTGTGATTCTGCCAATGTTATCAATGAAGGAAATCAGATCCAATTATGGATCTTGAATTCTGGTTGTACATGACTCTTAAAAGGAGTTGGTTTGACTCATTTGAGAAGATTAATGGAGGAGAGGTAGTCATGGGTAACAACATTGCTTGTAGAGTTGAAGGCATTGGAAATGTGACATTAAAATTTGAAAATGGGTATATCTTTACCCTAGAAAGGGTAAGATATGTTCTTGAATTGAACATGAACTTGATTTCAATGGAAAACTTGGATGATTTAGACTTACAAGGTAAAGTTAGTGATAGTTTGTTGAAGATGATAAGAGGATCACTTGTGATGTTTAAAGGTGTTAAAAGAAATGAGATTTATGTAGTTAAGGCTAATGCTGCAGTTGATTACATGGTTGCGTCTTCCAATGTTGAACTTGATGCCACTCTAATGTGGCATGAGAGATTAGTTCATGTATGTGAGAAATGCCTACATATCCTTTATAAAAACGAAGTTCTTGGGAAGGACTCTATTTCTATAGTTCCCTTTTGTGAAAATTGCATTTTAGGGAAGTAGCACATATTACATTTTAACCCTGGAAAACATAAATCTACCTTTGTCCTTGAATATATACATTTTGATTTATGGGGGCCTTCATCCACAATCTCTCAAGGAGGAAATGTATACTTTCTTTCCTTGATTGATGACTATTCTAGTCTAGGAAGGTTTGGGTTTATCTGTTAAAGCTTAAATCTGAAACCTTTGGGAAGTTTAAAACTTGGAAAGTGTTAATAGAGAACCAAACGGAAAGAAAATAAAGACTCTTAGGACTGATAATGGTCTTGAGTTTTGTAATGCTGAGTTTGATCGATTTTGTACTGAAAATGGGATTATAAGACATAAAACAGCTACTTATACCCCTCACCAGAATGGAGTGGCTGAGAGGATGAATAGAACTTTGTTAGATAAGGTGAGGTGCATGCTGGTTGGTTCAAATATACCTAAAACCTTATGGAGGGAAACCTTAATGACAGCCACTTACATTGTTAATAGAACCCCTTCAAATGCTCTAGGTTATAAAACACCTGAATAGCAATGGACTAGAACAGTCCCTGACTATTCACATATGAAAATTTTTGGATGTGCTGTCTATTCTCATCAAAATATAGGAAAATTAGAACATAGGGCCCAGAAATGTGTTTTCTTGAATTATCCTAATGGGGTTAAAGATTATAGGCATTGGTGTAGAGAGTCTAGTGGTTTTAAAATTATCACAAGTAAGGATGTTACTTTTGATGAGTTTAACATGCATTGTTTGAAAGATACTGAGAATATGCCTATAAGATTTAAGGCTAGACTTGTTGCTAAAGGTTTTACACAAAAGGAAGTCATAGATTATAATGAAATCTTCTCCACTGTGATTAAGTATACTACTATTAGAGTTATGTTAGCTCTTGCTATATAATCTTGAATTTGAACAAATGGATGTAAAAATTGTATTTTTACATGGTGATTTTGATGAAGTGATTTATATGAAACAATTAGCTGGTTTTATTGATAAATCTAAAACTGAACATGTTTGTTTGTTGAAAAGATCTTTGTATAGTTTGAAACAATCTCCAAAACAATGGTACAAAAGATTTGATACTTTTGTCTCTTCTGTTGGTTTTGTAAGAAGTGAGTTTGATCATTATTTATATTTTAAAAAAGATGATGTAAATGCTATTGCTAATTTTATACTTTTATATGTGGATGATACGCTTTTAATTGGACATAATATGTATGTCATAAATGAGAATAAAAGATTTTTGAGTGCTGAATTTGAAATGAAAGACCTTGGACAAGCTAAGAAAATTTTTATGAAAATAACTAGAAAAAAGGCATAATATGTTATTAACTTTGAAGCAAACTGCCTATGTTGCAAAATTGGTAACTAGATTTGTTATGCATAATTCAAAATCTATTTTTGTACCTCTGGCCAATCATTTTAAATTGAGTAAGGATCAGTCTCCTGTAAATGGATCCGACATTAAACAAATGGAAAATATACTTTATGCTAATACTGTAGGATCTATGATGTATACAATGGTTTGTACTAGGTTTGATATAGCTCATTCTATTAATACCCTTAGCATATTCATGGCTAATCCCGGTTTAGAACATTGGGCTGCTTTAAAATGGCCGTTGAGATATTTGAAAGGTTCTTCACACTTTTGAACAAATGGATGTAAAAATTGCATTTTTACATGGTGATTTTGATGAAGTGATTTATATGAAACAACCAGCTGGTTTTATTGATAAATCTAAAACTGAACATGCTTGTTTGTTGAAAAGATCTTTGTATAGTTTGAAACAATCTCTAAAATAATGGTACAAAAGATTTGATACTTTTGTCTCTTCTGTTGGTTTTGTAAGAAGTGAGTTTGATCATTATTTATATTTTAAAAAAGATGATGTAAATGCTATTGCTACTTTTATATGTGGATGATACGCTTTTAATTGGACATAATATGTATGTCATAAATCAGATTAAAAGATCTTTGAGTGCTGAATTTGAAATGAAAGACATTGGACAAGCTAAGAAAATTTTAGGCAGGAAAATAACTAGAAAAAAGGCGTAATATGTTATTAACTTTGAAGCAAACTGCCTATGTTGAAAAATTGGTAATTAGATTTGCTATGCATAATTCAAAATCTATTTTTGTACCTCTAGCCAGTCATTTTAAATTGAGCAAGGATTAGTCTCCTGTAAATGAATCTGACATTAAACAAATGGAAAAAATACCTTATGCTAATACTGTAGGATCTGTGATGTATACAATGGTTTGTACTCGGTCTGATGTAGCTCATTCTATTAGTACCCTTAGCATATTCATGGCTAATCCTGGTTTAGAACATTGGGCTGCTTTAAAATGGCCGTTGAGATATTTGTATTTGAAAGGTTCTTCACACTAAGGACTTTACTTTAGTGCTTGTAATGATGGTGTAGTGCCTAAATGATTTGTAGATTCTGATTTTGCTGGAAATATTGACAATATGAAGTCTACTATAACTTATATGTTTACTTTGTGTAGAACTTGTATCAGTTGAAAATCTCAACTGCAAACTGTTGTAGCTTTATCTACTATTGATGCTGAATATATTGCTGCAATTGAGACAATAAAAGAAGGTTTGTGGCTTAGGAGTTTGTTGTCTAAAATTAATGAATTGTCTAGTCCTGTTGCATTATATTCTGACAGTCAAAATCCTATACACTTGTGTAAAAACCCAGTTTATCATGAAAGAACTAAACATATTGATGTTAAGTTGCGTTTTATAAGAGATTGTTTCTAAAAATGTTTTACTTCTTGAGAAAATTGCTCCCCAATTTAATCCTGCTGATATGGGTACAAAGGTATTGCCTTTAACCAGGTTGAAGTCTTGTCTGCAAATGTTGAACATTGATACTGGGTAATCAGATTTATGCAGGTACTAATCCTAACATTGGTGCTATGTGGAGTGATCAATGGAAGCTGTGGCGAACAAGTAGTAACTTGTAGAGTGCATTAAGTTGCCTAATAAACCATTGGCATCAAGGTGGAGATTGTACAAGCTGTGATTCCAGCCCAACCCAATAAGAGACGATGAAATGGCTTTTAGCCCAATTTCTATTGCCCAATGCATTCAACTTAAATGAAGGTCCAGATCACCCATCCCAATACCCGATCCGGTAATAAGCGTGTTTAGCTATTGCAACTTTGGTTGTATTTCTTTTCCCATAGGCGTAAGTTTCACTAGACCGTTGGATTGACTGTTGCCCAATCTCGATGCATTGATATTTTTGGTATTCTAATGGTTTTGATTCATTCTACATCTTTCGTTCTTTCTGAGGGTTTTCTAGAGTCTTCGTGCTCTCTCTTTTCATCTTCATCTTCTGCCGTGAGGAACTCTTGAATCTGTTTTTTGAGTGTGTTTTCTGTGTGAAATCTGGTGCAAAGAAATGTTGTTGTTATTAGTAATGTTGAGCTCTTCTGGTCCATAGAAGATGCTGCATATTTACTGTAAATCGTGAGGGTTCTGGGTAAGTATTGGTTTCATAGTATTGATACAGACGGGTACAATATTCTGAGTCTTCGATCTGGGAAACCTTGGTGTTTAGTGGTTTTTTGGAAATAAACTTTTGTAATAGGGTTTCGAGTTCTTTAGATCTGTAATTTTTCAATTTAAGTTTTGTATAACAAAAGACCCTTACAACTTTGAACGTGCAAATACAATGAGTTTTCCTCTATTTATAGACAAAGCCATTTTGTATGGATGGTTATAATCTATTTGACCCAATGATCTAGATTTTTCTATTCAAATACCTACAATGATATATTCTAAACACAAGAAACCAACCAACTCAGAATCATCTATTGAAGACATGATAACATTCCACGGAAGAAATCTCAACCATGTTATTGTTTACATAGTCAATACAAAAATTATATATATACGAATATTCAAATCTACTTAATCTCTTGTATAATGTATATAATTATTAAATTTTCCTTAATGCATTTCACAATTTTCGTGTAGTATGCATATGGTTAATGTAAGTTATTATTTTATTTATTTCGTAATACACTTTGCTAGCTCTCGGCTCTCGTACTTATTTCATACTACAGTCCTTTATTCAATTGCTGGTATTTCAATAATATTGATATTTAATATTTATATAATACTACACAAGAGGATTCGACGAAAAGGAAAATCATATTTCATATGGGAGCTTACATAGTAGGAATTTATGTGATGAAAAATAAGGTGTATTTTACGGCATATATAATGACCATATTAAATGCATTCTACAGCAAAATCATGGCCTCGGCACTGCTTCTTACTTTGGACGACACGCCTTTTCAACGCAGCCAACTTGCCTTGCAAACTGCAACAAATTCAATCAATTATAAAAAAAAACCACTTGTACAGTGTTTAGAGGGCTGTGCTGTAAAATTTACAGCCCTCTAAACACTATAAATGTAGTGCATTTCATCAATTATACATCGATTATTACTTTTTCAGTTTAAACAATTATGTGCGCATGCACGTGTTAACATTTCTAGTGAGCCGTACAAATTTGAAAGAGGGAAAAGTAAGGGACCTGAAAATAACGTTCTAGTTTCTTTTTAAGAGTAGCATATTCTTTCTTCACTTGTTGGAAAGTTCTCTTGCATCTGCAAAGTAGAACATATTAGAAATTATCAATGTGCAAAAGAATCATAACAAACTAAGTATTTTTTTTTCCCAATAAATTTGAGTTCGACTATGTGAATTCTTTTCGGCACTGTGTTGTATACACTGCTAGATATTAATTCCCAATCGGGTTTAAAAACTTGAATTTCATCCTATATTTCAAGGGCTGAAACTTCCGTCCATTAAAAAGAAAAAAGATTGTTGTAAATGTCGAACTATCTCCATTTAAAATTTCTAGACTACTGCTTATATAATGCCGTGTTGAAAATATATATCTTATTTATTATAAAAAGCTTAAGATGTTAGAGAACGACGTACTCGTTCATTTAAATTATGTCCTTTACATTGAACTTGAAAGCATACATATTTGACATGAAAAACTAAGGCTCTGTTTGATACACCATATTTTTTATGTTCAATTTTTCAACTTTTGTAGTATTTGATAAGCAAAATTTTCCCGAGAAAATGTTTTCCAACTTTCCAAATTTTTCACATTTTTTAGGAAAACAAATTCTTGATGTTTTGGTTGGTAAGTATTTTCCAGGCTTTTTTTTTTGTGGCAATTGGAAAAAATTCTAGACATAATAGTAAAATTTTTATCACTTTTATTGACAATTTTCATGCAAAACAAAGCCAAACGAATGGTATTGGCTATGATAATTTTTTTTTGACAATTGGAACAAATTCTAGAGCTAATGGTAGAAAAAATTATTACTTTAATAGAAAATTTCCATAAAAAAGAAGCCAAACGTATACCAAAATTTCAACATTTTTTATGAAAAATTATACAAATTAAATACAATTAATTACAATTTCCAGTAAAACAATTTCTAAACAAATTAATTCCTTGTAAAATATTTTTTTCACCCATTTTCCACATTTACAAACAAATGCACTATAGGGCTAATTAAAGTTGAAAATAAATTACCCTTCTCCATTTCCTGTTTTGCAGTACTTCTCGAATTGTGTGCACTCCTTTTTCAACTTTTTGGCTCCAATGCTGCAGATATAGATGAAAAAAACAATAGGGTTAATTTATTTAGAAGATAAGAAAAATATTCGTGGCGATCAGGCCTATTTCTTGATTAATAATGATGAAATTTTTATTTTTGGAATGATTACCTGCAACTACTGCCCTTGAACTGGTGCATATGGTTGTCCAGCTTAGCAAAATCAATAGGGTTCTGCTCCCTGACAAAAGGAAGGAAATACATGTTCATTATCATTATCTAATCAAGATTCTAAAGCTTTTGATGTCAATTTTTGAGTGCTGAGTGCCGAATTGCACCTCCTATTCTAAATCTCTGGAGTCAATTCAATGCTCACAAGATAATCCTATTCGACAAAAACTAAGAGTTTACTCACAAAGCCTGCTCGATATTTTGGATTAATCGAACCGAATCCCAGTAATACAATGAAACAACTTCTTCCACGAAATTCGGATTTTCTTCATCTTGTAACTCCTCGAGCTGAATAAATTGTTCATCTAAATATCCCTACACAATGTCCAATATTATTTTGATTTTAACACAAAACAACAGTGCTACACAATATAAATATATTATTATTTGTTCTAATTACTATGATCCTTCTATGCTGCGCATAATTCTAGGCAAGCTCTCCCCCCACCCATATGCGTCTGTTCTGTGTGACTGTGTGAAATACAGCTCGCAAAATGAATGTAAAATACCTGATCAAAGAGGGAATGCTTCATGTTGGCAAGTTGTCTATGCAAATTTCTTTCCCTTGAAGAACTGTTTGACATTACAAACCAAGTAGGGAAGAGGGAAAAAAATTGACAAAACCAGAGAGAGAGAGAGAGAGAATTGTGATAGTCGAAATGGGAATGCAATAGTTTTGCATGAAGCAAGAGGGTTTATATAGGGCAAATGTTGGTTCCATCCTCTCTCTTTCTCTCTATGTGCAAAGGAGATAAACATTTGATTCTGTCTGAAATAAATTTAGATTCTGTAAGGTACATTTCAAGACTTCATTCAGATTCTCAGAATCTGAAAATATATATTTTTCAATTTTAGAGTCGAAGCGCTTCAGCTCCAATTGATACTAGAGTTTTAAAAGTAAGAATGGTCTCTAAAGTTCAAGTGAAATTTCAAATTGGTTACTAAAATTATTTTTAGAACCCAATTAGTCACTAAACAATGCTATATAGTTGGTGACACCTTTATATGACTTTCATTCAATTTATTAATTGACAATGTTCCTTTGTTGTATCCAACTAATTAATTAGCAACACGTGAATTATAACTCAGAGACAATATTAAAGATATCTTCTCACATTTTTGAGTAATCAGAGACATCCCTCACGTTTCAAAAATATCAATATTTCTAATTTTGAGTATCATATTAACTTTTTAACTGCCTTTAATAATAATTAGTGATTGATTATAAAGCCCCCACGGCACATGTCCAAGTAGTAAAAGGGGAAGGTGGAAAATCTCCAACTTTGCTTGAGGCTGCCACGTCAAGGGTTCGAATCCTAAAATATGGATTTGGCCATTAGGTAAGTACAAGTGTACAAGCAATCTTCCACCTTGTACCTTTGGACGCATAACCTGCGATTTATCTCCTTCACCAAAACTCACAGCATGGCAGGTGGGGGCCATCAAGGATGCAATTCATCCTTTTTTAGTGATTGATTATAAATTGTTAATACCTAAATTTCTCATGAAAACAATATATTAAACTCTATACCATTTACGCATTAATTTCATATAAATGTCTTAGCCATTTATCAAAACCATTTAATTACAATAATTAGTAAACTTTACCATCTATTTCGTTAAGCTTAAGAGCTTGTTTTGTACAGATCAAAATTGAATTAAAATTGAAAATATAACCGTTATTGGGTCCCACTCTTCTAATAAAAGTCGACAATAACGACTAATTTTACAATTTTAATCTGATTTTAATCTCGACCAAACACGCCCTATCAATGTATATATTTCTTGATTTTGAAACTATTTGTTGATTTGAATGAATTATCCAATTGCAATGTTATCTGATGAACTTACTTTTTGAAACATTTTGGATATCAATGCAATTGGATTAGTCACTTATATCAACAAATAATTTCACATATAAATAGGGATGACAATGAGGTAGGTTGAGACAGGTGGCCATCTCCGTCCCCACAGTGTCGGGAATTTTCTGGAGATGGTACTGCGGGGATATTAAAATATCTAAATTTACCATCTTGTTTTATTGTTAAATCATTATTTTTTAAATAGATTTCAATTATAAAATATAAAAATAAAATAAAATAAAAATATTCAAGCAGCGGGGAAACAAGAAATCCTTGCTCAATATTTGAGCATAAACACAAACTCCAAAAAACTAATGAAACTTTCAGTAAAATGAAACAATCACACTATATGTACATCTTCGTTGATATCAAGTTTGACACACTTGTGAGGTGACAATTTTTTAGACATTAATTTTAACAATATTTTAAACAATCAATGACACAGATTTTGATACATATGAGGATGTCAAAGAAGTTGTCAACCACAAATGTACAACTAATTTACTCGAAAATCAAACTACTATTTCCCCTGAATAAAATGCTGCTTATTTGACTGCCTAAAAAAATAAAAATTTGACCCAAATACTAAATGGCTTAGGGGCATTAGTTCATGAATTTTCCTTAGAAGCTCGTTTCTACAAAGAAAAGTGATATTATTCATTAAATCTCAACATAATCAACTGAATCAAGATAATCAATTGCATCATTAAAAATTTGTTCACTGTAATTAATCCATCAAGTTTCACTATCTGAAATGAAAAAAATTATAATATATATAAAAGAAAAAGAAGAAGCTGCTTTAGCATATGCTTATTGATAACTGGGCCAGAATTTATCCCAAAAAGACACACAAGTTAGAATGACATTATTGGCTTCCATAAAAAGCATTGATATGAAAACATTATCATCATTCATTCTTATTTTTTAGGACAGTAATTGTTGGAGGAAACGCATAAAACCCTCAAATCAATGAAGGCACATATTCAAGAAGGGACAGCCCACTCATGTTAACTAATCAATCAATTGGAATCATCCGTACAAGCTTTGCAACAAATTTCACTGCCCATAATCTTGATTTTAACTACTTTTTGGAAAAAAAGTGTTTTGACATCCTAGGATGTTTTTGCTGTAAGGAAAGGGCTTCTAGTAAGAGAACTATGTTTTCAGTTCGTTTTACCACTGTATGGTTGACCAACACCTTTATATATTACAGCACGATTGAAAGTAGTCTCAAAGCCTATAGTGACCATATTTCACGTCACGCTAATTGTGCCGACAAATATTATCTATTTCTCCTGGCATATATATGATTATAGTCAAGATTATTTTTTGAACTTATGGAACCTAATCTTTATAATTTTCTACTTTCTCATTTTAAATTAATGTCGAGAAATCTCTTTATTTTATATATAATCCGTTTGGTAAATTATAAATAGGAATAGTATGAAGAATAGCAAGAGGAATAATAGTGATTTTTATGAAATGCGTACATAATAATGAGTAATATTTACGGGCATGCAGTTAAAATTATGATTAACTTTAAATGAATTTATACGTGAATTTATAAAGTGTATCCAGATGGTTAGATCCATATATGCATGAATCTATGATAAATGCAAGTAATTGTAGAACAATCAATTATGCGACCGCGAATGGTTTACAAATCGCAATAACCCCTACAACTTTCAGATTTTTTTATTTTGATCCCTATTTCAAGTTTTACGTACGACTTTGGTCCTTTTTGTCCAAATATTCTATATTGATCTCATTAATTTCGAAGCATCCATGTTGGTCCTTGAGTTTCATAATCATGCAAAATTGGTCCTTCTCAAGTTCCAGAAGTGTGCAAATCGGTCCAAACTTTCCATAAGTTGGATTTCACACTTGAAATTTGTAAATTTCCTCCAATTAAACTCAAAATCCTCATTTTTTGCTCCAAGTACCTCCCAGTCCATGTTTCACATGAAATGATAATATTTACTCTGAATTAAGTAGAAACTCGTTGAACGTGCTTATTAGAAGTGCTCCTCATCCTTCATCTTGTTTACCCTTACCTTCTCTATTCTGCATAACATAATCCAATATGATATTTACATTATTTAGTCCCTGTTTGGTGATTATTACAATTATGTTTTTAGTAAATTTTGATAAAAGTTGATGAAATGCGTGGTTAAAAAGTTGTGAGTATTATAAAACATGTAATGAAAATTTGTTGTTGACTACAACTTATGTTCGTGGCTTAATTTTTGTAAAATCGACTTGATCACGTCGCTCTCTTGTATGATGAGAGAGATAAGGAGGGACACATGATGTGCTCCATGTCAAATCCGTGACTGTCTTCTTCTTCACCCATTCCTTCTCCATTTGGCAACAATTTATTTGGTAGAATTTAAAATAAAAATTCATGTGTAATTTTATTTTGGGAAAATTTCATTTTCAAAAGACTAAGTACCACCTATTTCAAAACTAAGAAAACAACTTTCAAATTTCAAAAATCAGATTTTTTTTAAAATTTTTATTTATGAAATAATAAATTATTAAATCAATTTATTATTAAATATTTAATTCTAATATAATATAATTAACTCACCCCATCTTCACTAACCCTACCGCTCCGGCGATCATTCCGATCATCACTCTACTCCGACGAACTTTTCGACGACTATTTCGATAACTTTTCCGGTGAAATTTCAGGCAATTGTCCGGCGAACTTTTCTGGTGACTTCCCGACGACTATTCCGGCGAGCTTTCAGCGACTTTTTCGGTGACTTTTTCGATTTCGACAATTATTTATCTTATTAATTAAATATAATGAGGTTACAATTATATAATTAATGATCACAGATACATAATTAATTGGTCAAAGATTATTTTTGAGGTCACAAATCAAAAATATTATAGGTCACGATTTTTTTATGGCCACAGATTAAAAATTTCGTAGGTCACAGATTATTTCGAGATCACAAATCATGTCACATATTATTTTAATGGTCATGGATCAAATTATTACAGGTCACAGTTATCTATTAGTCATATATTTTCAAATTTATTGGTGACATTAATTTTTAGTCACAATTTTAAGGTTACAGCTAGACTTTTTTGTGACCACCACCGACCTCCGTGACCACCCTTGTGACCACTATCGATTTCTGTGACCACCACCAACTTTTGTGACCACCCCGTAACTACCACCGTCGTTGTCGTCAGAACTAAAAGCACCACCCTCGTGACCGCCACCGACTTTTGTAACCACCACTGACTTTTGTGACCACCACTTCACCACTGCCACAGGCCGCATCGCCATCGCTGCCACACCACTAACACCGACACTGTTACCACCAAAAATCCGGCAGCACACCACGACCACCTCGCGATCTGAAAGCCACAAAGAGAAGGAAACAAAAATCAAATATCCGGCACCACACCACCACCACAAAACCACTCGTGCCACCACCAAATCCCCCACCACCACATCACCACGCCACAGTTCACAACCCATAGAACACCAACACCATACCATCCATCACCGTTTACACCACTGACTGCACAGCCACCACATAGCTTTCGGATCCTGTCGAGCCAGAGATCAACAATCTCTTTGCCCATGGTGTAAAGCCCTCTAGCAAAGTTGTTGGCAGCATCATCCTTGCTAGTGTGCAACTGTCCTGGGTGAAATAGCTGGCGGTATGTCCCGGTACGGACCTCATCTATCACAGTAGTCT